CGGGCTCAGGCAATTCACTCACCTCAGCCTCCCAAAGGCGCGGGATTACAGGCTGAGCCACTGAGCCCGGCTGCCTTAGTATTTTTTAACACCCAACTCACAACAGGTGTTTTGGATGTTATAGCCAAGGAAGTTTAACCTTAGGTGACTATAGACCTGCTGGTGTCCATCTTAGTTACTAACACCTCTACCCTTAAACTTAGCACTTGGCCTATATATTCCTGAATTCAGTATCACATGACTCATCAGCAATGCCATTCCACTCCCAGAATCTGTCCACATCTCTTTCCACTAAGGGCCTTTTTCCTGGACAATTGGAACCACCCCATAACTAGTCACTCTACTCTGCTTTTCCCCCTGCAGAGAAGCTGGTAGTTTTTTGGGTTTTTTTTTTGAGTTGGAGTCTCTTGTCCAGGCTGGAGGGCAGTGGCACACTCAAGGCCACTCCAGTGTTGACCTGCTGGGCTCCAGTGATCCTTCTGCCTCAGCCTTCCAAGTAGCTGAAGCCACAGGTGTGCCACCGTGCCCAGTTAAGTTGCAGGAAGGTCTTGAACCCCTGGACTCAGGCAATCCTCTCACTTCTGCCTCCCAAGGTGCTGGGATTACAAGTATGAGCCACGGTGCCCAGCGTATTTTTCTCTATTTTCTTAACCAAGTACTCTGTCGTATGTCCTTTCACAGCTATCTTGCACAGTACACACATCCTACTGGCCTGCATTTTTAATGGCATTGTTTCTTAAAAACTTATCTTCCCCCATTAGAATATAAGCATCATGAAGGGCAGAGACTTGCTCTGTTCACCTCTGTATCCGCTCCAATATTTTTTTTTTTGAGTCGGAGTCTCACTCTGTCGCCCAGACTTAAATATTTATTGAATGAATGAGTAACTCCTTTGGCCAGTGCCAGCAACATTGCTGTTCTGCCAACTTACCTTTGGTCACATACAAGTAAAAGAAGTCACAGTAGAATATGGTTTGGACTACTCCAGACACCACTGCAATTTGGTCATAGAAATTCTCAGTCTGGTACCGCCTGATCCAGTTAGCCAGGTAGAGAGCCCGGTACAGACCCAGAAAGAACAGGTAGTGGGTGGTGATGGTCTCAGCCTCTCCAGTCTTGCTGATCATGAATAGCTGGGGCAGGATGGCCACTGATTCCAAGTAGATAGAGAAAGTCCAGAGGATCTGGGACAAAGAGAAGGCAGTCAGAGGAGGCCCATGTCCTTGAGAGGATGTAATTACTAAGCAGTTTACTGGAGAAAATGCAGTTTAGAAAAAAAAAAGTCACATTCCCAACAAACATTTTAATAATCAGTATATTCTTAGATCTCTTTCTAGGTAAATGCAAGGTTTCATTTTTTTCATTTTTAAAAGATTATACAGTACATGCTGCTTTTTTTCACAACATAGCATGTACATTTCTATGGAAAATAATTTTTAATATTTTTTTGAGACAGAGTCTCACTCTGTCACCCAGGCTGGAGTGCAGCCTCGATCTGCTGGGCTCAGTCAGGCAATCCTTCTGCCTCAGGCTTCCAAGTAGCTGGAACTGCATGTGTGTGCCACCATGCCCGGCTGATTATCTGTTTTACTGCAAAGACGAGGTCTTGCCATGTTGCCAGGTTTGTCTCAAACCCCTGGGCTCAGGCAATCCTTCTGCCTCAGCCTTCCAAGTAGCTGGAACTACATGTGCGCATCACCATGCCCAGCTGATTTTTTGTTTTACTGTAGAGACGAGGTCTCGCCAAGTTGCCAGGCTTGTCTCAAACCCCTGGGTTCAGACAGTCCTCTTATCTCAGCCTCCCAAAGTGCTGGGACTACAGGCATAAGCCGCCGGGCCTGGTGAAAATAATTTTTAAATGTGGTTTTATCGTATAAAACCCACTGTACCAGCCTGGGCAACATAGCAAGACCTCATGTCTACAAAAATAAAAAATTCAGCCAGGCATGGTAGTATGTGCCTATAGTACCAGTTACTCAGGAAGCTGAGGTGGAAGGACTGCCTGAGCCCAGTTGAGCCTAAGGTGAGCTGTGATCATGCCACTGCACTCCAACCTGGACGACAGAGCAAGACCTTGTCCAACACACACACAACACTGTAATTGAAACTACAGTTTCTCAAAATACAGTCAATTCATAGATACTAGCATCAGAATCTTCTGAGATGCTCGTTGCCCACATATTCATGGGCTCAGACCTACCGAGTTAAAATCTCTGGGCCGGGCCAGGCGTGGTGGCTCACACGTATAATCCCAGCATTTTGGGAGGCCGGGTAAGAGGACTGCCTGAGTACACGGGTTCGAGACCAGCCTGGGAAACTTGGTGAGACCTCATCTCTACAATAAATCAAAAAATTAGCCAGGCGTGGTGGTGCGTGCCTATAGTTCCAGCTACCTGGAAGGCTGAGGCGGAAGGATCACCTGAGCCCAGCAGATCAAGCTGCAGTAGTCGCTGAGTGTGCCACTGCATTCAAGCCTGGGCGACAGAGTGAGACTCCAATTCAAAAATAAATAAGCATTAAAATAAATAAAATCTCTGGGCCTGAGCCGGGTACAGTGGCTCACACCTGTAATCTCAGCACTTGGGAGGCAGAGGCAAGAGGATTGCCTGAGCTCAGGGGTTGGACACCAGCCTGGGCAACTTGGCAAGAACTTGTCTCTACAATAAATAAAAAAATCAGCCAGGTGGGGTGGCTCATGCAGAAGAACTGCCTGAGCCCAGCAGGTCAAGGCTGCAGTGACCATGAGCAGCATGCCACTGTACTCCAGCCTGGGTGACAGAGTGAGATTCTGACTCAAAAATAAATAATAAATCAAATCTCTGGGCCTGACTGCTCTGAGGATCTGCTGGTCAGCTGTTGGACAGAAAGTCTCACCAGCCAGAAGTGGGACCATGATGCCTTCTTGGTATGATACCTTCCTGGTTTATGAACATCATGACTACTTAGATGTGCCTATTTCCTTTTTTTTTTTTTTTTTTG